TTAATACTTCCAGTCGAATAATTATGTATCCAGTATTAATACTTCCAGTCGAATAATTATGTATCCAGTATTAATACTTCCAGTCGAATAATTATGTATCCAGTATTAATACTTCCATTCGAATAATTATGTATCCAGTATTAATACTTCCAGTCGAATAATTATGTATCCAGTATTAATACTTCCAGTCGAATAATTATGTATCCAGTATTAATACTTCCAGTCGAATAATTATGCATCCTGTATTAATACTTCCAGTCGAATAATTATGTATCCAGTATTAATACTTCCAGTCGAATAATTAAGTATCAGGTATTTTTATTCGAATCATGAAAAATCCGGAATTAATACATTTATACTAATAAGTCAGCTTTATAAATAGAGTTATCCCTATCATTAAGTATATGGTATTAATACGTCTATCCCAATCATTAATTATCCAGTATACTTTTTATCCATATAACGATAGAAATATTTTATCCCAGTTATTAAGTATCCGATATTAATTCTGTTAACCTTATAAATCTGCATCCGATATGAATATTTTATCTCCATAATTAGGTATCCGGTATTAATACTTTTATCCCAATCATTAAGTATATGGTATTAATACATTTTTCACAATCATTAGGTATATACATACATGCATACATACATACATACATACATACATACATACATACATACATACATACATACATACATACATACATACATACATACATACATACATACATACATACATACATACATACATACATACATACATACATACATACATACATACATACATACATGCATACATATATATATATATGTGTGTGTCTGTGTGTGTGTGTGTGTGTCCTGCAAGACTGAAGTAGTATTGTTGTCTGTTGTACATCAACATCCTTGAAAACATTTTTGCATAATTAATGAAATATAAGACAGTTTTTCAAGGGTAAACACTAATATTTAAAGGGACAAGTATGTTCTTTAGATCTTTTTTGGAGGTGTTCTCCCTGATTGATCTTTTCAGACCAGTTAGGGAGGCCCTCCTGCCATACATGCAGAGGATTGTGCTATATTGTATTTATTTTATAATGGTACAATTTTTCTACTTATTTTGTTTCTATATCAACGTACTTGTTACGTAACGTAGCAGCTGATTGACTATTGAACTGAGGGACGGAGAAAGAGTTTGATACTGCCCCGTCCAGTTGACCGATCAGAGGACTATTTTCACGTGTGAAAATGTACGTCCCCTTTGGTCCTTTAGACCTCACACCTTGGTAAAGTACCAGATACCGCTTTATTGAACCACCAAGGAAGACCAGTACAATCATGCCGTCATTGACAAGTATACAATACGCATCCCTAATTACCCTTTTCCTTCCTCTAGGTGGGAGATATGCCCGATTCCCAGTCCCTTGTTTATACTTTCTGCGGCCCATGAAAGACTAATCAATGAAACACCTTATACCCTTTGTTCTGACCCCTCGTCGGTAATAAAAAATAGGTCGAAGATTTGCATGCTCGAATTGGAAACGTCTTAAATTGCAGTTGTTAAACAAATTTCCAACTTAGCAACCATCCACGAAATTATAATGAGTATTATTTCTAGAAATAAAGTGGAACGTAAACATAAGAAGGACTACGAGGCCTTTTCTTATTATTTAGCTCGATTGTATCACGATAACAATCAGCTAAGAGAAGTTATTATCGACAAACTTGAATGACCTGGTATATATTGTAACGCATACTTACCTGGAGCAAAGATTAGCGCACGTATTTGTTCCTTTCCGTATTTAATAGGTATGGCCGCGAGCATTGTAGGTTATCGGAGTAGCAGGGCCATTCCAGACCGCAGTAGTAACTTGAAAGTCATAGCAGACCCTCGCGTGACGACCTAATGATTAATTCTCATAAATATATATATGTGCACATTCGTTCCAGATTCATATGAAATAAATCAAGGTATATAGGATTTTTTTTTATTTGAATGAATTATAAATATGCACTCAACATAACAGAAAGTGCTATCCCTGGATTCTATTAAATGTATTAAAATATTAATTCTGCCTACTATTATCAAGCATTCTTCTATAGAATCCAGGGGTAGCACTGTCTGCTCCGTTGGATGTACATTTATAATTATTTGTAATAAAAAATATCCTATACACCTTGATTTTTTTTATAGGAATCTATAATGAATGTGCATATTTATAAGAATCAATCATTATGTCGTGAAGCGAGCGTGTCTGCTACGCACGAGTACACATAACACCGATTCGGTGTCATCATTTTTTTTTTCTTTTTTTTTTTGGTGATGCGTCCTTAGTCGCGACAGGATATGGACTGGTGTGTACAGGCAAGGCAATGGGTGCCGTTTACTCACGGACCTGGGTTCAAAACTCCGCAGAGTACGAATTACAATTCTCTAACCTGTATGATAGTAACATATGTATTAAATTATTATTGCTGCCTACTGTTATCGTGCATTTTTCTATAGATAACACTTTCTGTTCTGCTGGGTATATAATAATTGTAAACCAATTGGAAGCAAATAGATTGGATAAGGAAACTTTTCACACTTATTTCTGAGATGTCAGCATTACCACAGTTTTTTTTTTCCAAATAAAAGTTAATTAAGTAATGACGATTGCACGTAAATATCTCAGAAGACAATGCATTGTGTGTGGTGTGGACCTAAATATATATTGTTTTATTGCCCTTAATCAAGCTCAAAATTCTCCCCAGATTGAATAATCGCTTGAAAATTGTCCTATGTGTATCATTAATTTGCATTTCACACAAGTCCTACATCCGTAGAATTCTCTTGGCAAGGCATTTACATTGTGACAATAAAATTCTATACAGAAATGATTGTAGCATTACTTGAAAGAATGTTGTTTCTCCGATAATAACCCCACGTCTGAAGATACGTCGATACTCAATATTTTCAAATTTGGGGTAAATGTTTAGGAACGAAGGCTTTAGTAGACATACGTCCTCTATCTATTTTTCATCACACTTGCATGATGGTGTCCAAGGTCTGTTAAGTTAAAAAAAAAATAAGTTTTTTTTAATTAATTTTAGAATTAAACATTTGCTATTAAATATAATGAAAACAATATATCAAAAAAAGATAGACATTTATATAGCCGTCCAATCGTTTTGGAAAAATATAAATTTTAAATGGAATTATACCAGTTCCATCTAGGATAAAGGTGATTGACATGTGATAGTCTATCAACAGGATATCGAGAACGTTAACTTTGATATACAGATAGCAAATTTCAATGCTTTTTTCACAATGGGTTTGACAGCCCTATTAATCGCTACCTTTGCTGGGTAATAGCCACACCGTTCTAGATCGTCTTTTGGTATATGCAGCTAACCCAAATAATGTTTTTATTCAATACTGATGGAAGGCTAATCTGCAATTTGCAAGCGAAATAGATGTTGTAATCAGAGAGATCGTTAAATCTAACTGGCACGTTTTCAACATGGTGAATAACATGCTGTCAACATGCATTCAGGGTTACAATATTAGAATTACGGACTACAGGAAAGAATTACTTACCAACGAAATTTAAGAATTCGACAATGGAAGTGCTTTATCGTTTTAAAATAAGGAACACATCTTAAGGCATTTTATGATATTTTTGGATCAGATTAGAATAAAAAAATATATTTGATTGACTTTACCCACTATTGATAACAAAGTATTGGGGACTATTTTGTGTCCGCCATGCTGGTTGGGCCATGCTGGTTGGCTTAGGGATAATATACAAAATTGTATAGTGAATCCCCAGATAGCAGAGGTATATACTTAGCGGTTATGATCCAGAGTTTACATGGATTGTCTCAAGTATAAAAAAAAAATGTCTGAGAGGTTGAACTGGAGAAATTTGGGTCCGACATGTGTCGTTGTCTACAGAGACTTGTATATTTGTATAACTATCTTCCCAGGCAAATGTAATGAGCAATCCGATTGGATCAGTTTTCTTCAGCTGCATCCAATCGTATGACGGAGAGGTGTGTGATGTTATATATACCATCGGTCAATGTTGAACGAAACGGATCTACGTACCTTTGGGTAGCAAAGATAACAAAGATAACTTTTTTTTGGTGGGGGGGATACACTTGATTATTGTTTAACCAGGCCCAATGATCTATTAGCTTATAATCTGTCTATATTTATTCAATTTGTTGCATTGAAAGGAACTTGCCCATTCACTTGATATGCTTTTCACGCGTTGTCAAACATCGCTTTTTAAAATAGGCTTTTAACACTTAATAATCCCCTTGCACGTTACTGGCAAGAAAACACATCTTTTATAGTAATTTTCAACTGGAGATATTTTACTGTCTATTTGTTTTTATCAGAATTTGTCATAAGCGCGTTGCCAGTCATTGTAATGTTTCTTCTAAACTTGTACTGTTCGAACTCATTTACAGATGTAATGGTTCTCATCGTAATCAAATGATAAACATTTTACAAATGTCTATAAAAGCCACAAACGCAACAAACTGCAATCAAGTCAGAAATGTGTAAAACAAAAAAATTACAACAAATCAACAAGAGTAACTACTGATATGATTGTTTTTCTTTATCGACATTGTGCATTTGTCCTGATGAAAATGTACTAAATATTTAAGTATGAAGAAAAACTTAAACAAGTGAATGTTTAACTTTTTTCTTTATCTAAAACAATTCGTGTAAATTACAAATCTGACTCCGGTGCATTTTAGTTTCACCAAATTCCTGCAGCTTAGCCTTAAATTTAATGTGTATGTTAGTGATTTAGATTTTTAACGTAGCTTTAACAAATTTTCAGTCATATCGCTAAGATGTCTGCAGTGTGACAGTCTATAGTGATATCTAACACTAGGGCATCATGCTGTCCCATCCAGTCAAATTATCCTGACACCAGGCCGACCAGTCCTAACACTACCATCTTAATGCTGAGCGCCAAGCTAGGCAGCTGTTAGTACCATTTTTAAAGTCCTTGGTATGACTCAGCCGGGGTTCGAACACGCGAACTGCCGCATCCGAGGCGGACGCTCTAACCACTAGGCCACCGAACTGTTTTAAATTAAATGAAGAGCTTGATTGCAAAAAATTGCCAACCACAATAATTTTCTTGACTTCTACTCGGTTCGCTATTGTGTTATGTCTTCACTGCCAGAACAAGCCATTCTCTAGAAAGCACAGTTTCTGAAATTTTCACCAATTTAGTCTTCATATTATAGCCAATCGCTTTAATCTCTACCGTAGGGAGTTCTTTGTTCCCTGATACGTCACTTCTACACATGTGTATGCAATGCCTGTTAGAACCTGAACGAGAACAGCTATTTTAAATACAGTTTTGCCTTAGCCATGTAAAAGACATACATGTCAGGTATAGAATATTCAAAAGAACAGAAACATTTTTGCCTGACCGCTAAGCAAAGATTGCAGAAATGTGACATTTAAAGTAAGGTATGCAGCAATATGTGACAATATGGTATGCAACAATGAGTCACATGTGTGACTACATTTAAGTTATAACATAATAGCATTTTAGTATAACGTAATGTTACAAGTACATGACTTTTGGTGTACATTATTTAAAAGTTGCAGTTTGGCAACCTGTTCTTGGAATAGTATACACTCGTCTATAACTCGAATAAAACTTTGAATAACATAGATTATAATCTACATGCGCATTATCGAACGATAGAGCTTGATCTGTGCAGCTGGTAGATTAAGCTTATTTGTATTTTTATAATAAACTTGCGTATTTAGTTTCTAATGTATACTTATAATATAGTAAATAAGGTATTTTGTTTCTAACTTATGTTTAGTTTATAGCGTTTACCCACAATGTACTAAATACGGTATCTTGATAAAATTTATGTCTTTAGTTTATGATGTCCACTTGCAATTTATTAAATACGGTATTTTGTTCAATTTTTTGAATTTAGTTAATAATGTCCACTTGCAATTTTTTAATTACGATATATTTTTCAAACTGTTTTGTATTTAGTTGATAACGTCCCAACATGTTTATTTAGGTAGCAGTTAATGTTCAGTTTGTATTTAGCTGCAATTCCTTGCGTTTGACTGATTTCTTGGTTCTTACATTTATGAGAAATTCGATGAACAATTTTTATCATGTATGAAAGCGCTGTTCACAGCTATCTAAGGTTTTATCGTGCGTTTTATCTAACATGCACGCACCATTAACGCCAAGAAAGAGTCCAGATCCCAACATCCACCACAAGCCCATCACAAATCCTCAAACTACAGTAATGTAAATTAAAGCGATGCGAAGTTGTTTTTACCAAGCCATGAAAGTTAATAGCCTTTCTCAAGCTATAGTCGACCCCCCAGACAAAATCAGTGCATTTTCTTACAGACCGTGTCCACGGTTGATAAAAGTTTAAAGTAGGTATTAGTGAAATATCTTAGAGAGCAACATAAATCAGAATATTTTAGAAAGCCATCATGGAATGGCTCTTACTTTATTAATGGTGCTAATAAATTAAAGGAACACATGCGACCGAATACAAGTTTATTTTTACTTATGAAACATAAATAATATCGGTCTACTAAATCTTGTAATGATCAATACTACAGTTGGCGTGAATCCCTCCTAAAATAGTTGCCATGTAGATGAGATAAGATGGTAGTGAATAGTTTCTCGAAGGTGATATCTCATTATTCTGTGACGAGAGAGAGAGAGAGAGAAAGAGAGAGAGAGAGAGAGAGAGAGAGAGAGAGAGAGAGAGAGAGAGAGAGAGAGAGAGAGAGAGAGAGAGAGAGAGAGAGAGAGAGAGAGAGAGAGAGAGTTGAAAATGATCCAGCGGAACTAGCATTTTTTTTTAAGGCGTGCATCTGAAGTAAGGGCAAGTTGTATATTCTATACTATAACACATATTACAAACATTAATCATACAACAAAAAAAAGGAATTTTTAAACGTTCTTTGAACAGTACCTATGGTCAAGAAGGTCTCCTTTTAACTAGCAAGTATAACCAGTGAGGAAAAGCGAGGAAATTCTTTTTCTTTAAAAATATAACCCTGTTCAAAATACGAAACTATTGACTTCCACCAACATTTCAACCGGAAACCATCGGATAAAACATCATATAAACCGGAAACCATTGGACTCAACAACAACATTTATTTACAGATTCTTCCATGAATATCTGAAGACTAAAACAAGAACAAAATGGATTTTTTTCTAAAGAAGATCAATGTTATATATGTATACAGGAAGAAAATATGTCAGACATATTACGGTATTACTATGCCGTTCGAATCAAGAGACCACGTGACCCCATCACGTGTTCTAAAATTGCGTTTCATTTAGAGTTAAAACTAATGTTTCGTAGCGATTTAGTTCAGTCGTAATTCGTACCTTCGGAGCCCAAAGTTATTTTTATGTTGTGATCAGATTGAGTTGAATTTTTTATTTAAAATAATTTAAATTCCCTGGAAATATTTAGTGCTCATACAAATTCTTGGACAAAGACATTTATTGGAAATAATTCGAAATTCAAAACCCAGAATAATATTGTTGGTGATTCAACAGGGAACTGTTGACACGACACAGCAAAACAGGCTATAGAAGACATCATCGCCTTCCATCTTGAAACTTCATTTGGATTCAGACTTTGATAAATTAAAATGTTTTAGTGATATGACTTTATTTTTAATTATTGGATTAATTAAGAATTTGATTCATAAACCGTGAGTTCTTTTTCATATTTTTACTTTATTTTTATAGGGAAATAAATTATAATGTTACAATTTACAAAGTTTGTTGTCTTCACTCTTTTCTTTGTTATTTTTCTACGTTCTTATTAGACACGTAACAAAATATGCATGGTCAAATTTCTCATCGAGTCTTTAATTCTGTTTTGGAAAAAAATGCATGCTCATATTTCTCACTAAGGCCTTAACTGTATTTTGGACCAAACTTGCATATCCACATTTCACATTAAGACCTTATTTCTTTTTTGAAAAATGCATGGTCATACATTCATATTTCTCACTAAGTTCTAGTTCTATTTTGGAACAACATGTATGGTTATATTTCTCGCTAAGTCCTTAGTTCTGAACACACCTGCTTGCATCGATGGCGTTTTGAGACACTGACATCCAACATAGAAAAAGAGGCAGCAGAGAAAAACGTACTTGGCAGAGGTTACAAGATTTATCCACAGCTATATCAGCAATTGTAACGAAAGAACTGCAGTTAACGACTATGAGTTATACGTTTTTTTAAAGTCTAAGAATTTCAATAACTCATATTGACAGTTAATGATCAAGCGAATTTAATCGGTATCACTCAGTGTATCAAAAAAAATTAAAACTAGTCTTTGAAGCAATGTCTCTCGGCAGAATGTCACTTTATGTTCTAATCCATATTTGACAAACATGTGAAGAGCGCTAGTTATTAGGTTTATTATTACAAAAAAAATGATTGTAAATGAGGTAATCTAGCGAGGAAGTAACTGACCTTTAAAAATGCACGATTAGGTATGACTCATCTACAGAAAAGAAGTCTTTAGAAACTAATAAATCAGATATCTCACTTGATTAAATTCACCATTAAACAAATATAACAAATAAGTGAAATCATTAAATTATCTATCTATCTATCTATCTATCTATCTATCTATCTATCTATCTATCTATCTATCTATCTATCTATCTATCTATCTATCTATCTATCTATCTATCTATCTATCTATCTATCTATCTATCTATCTATCTATCTATCTATCTATCTATCTACATGAATAAAATATTTCAAAATTTTCACGAATATTTATTGTGATTACTTTAGGCGAATAATGGAAATGAGTTAAACCAAGGCAAAGATTGGCGGAGAATGATTAAGAACTACAGAAAAAGTCCATATATCTATCACAATTTAAAATCGCACGTGAATCTTGTGAGAATTTATTTACCTTATATACTCGCTTATAAGGAGAACAAAACTGTGCATCAATAGATCAGAGTCTATGTTGTTTGTTCTAATGATTACTCCTAAAAGCTACGTAGGCAGATTTGCCAGTGCATGACGTGAGTGCAGGTCTGAGTCAATGCAATTTTCAATGAGAGATCGTAGCCAGCTATCTTCCCAATTGGTAGAGCCACATTGCAATGGGGTCCCTATATTTTGGTTCCCTCTCGGATTTTATCGTTAGCAAAAAGGGCTTTAGATATATTAGATTCATAATATATGTATCAATGAAAACAAATATTTATTTTGAGGTGAATCCAAAAATATAATAAGTTAGAACTATAATACTTTGACATGATTATTTGGCTTCTTTTTAAGTTAATATAATAATTTATCTTAATAATTACGATAACAACTTCATTTCCTTATCTTCAATGTTTATTTGAGATAGGGAAGTGGCAGATTTCTCCATATCCTTTCTCTTAGAGACCAATCTTGAAAACCGGAAATGTGCTAAAGTTTTGTAAAACCAAATCAAATAATATTCATTATAGGAATACACATGTATGGGCTGAAAATAAAATCAGTACATCCAATTTAAAAAATGACGACATAGAGTTCATGTATGTGTGATTTTGACTTTTTAACGTAGCTTTAAAACTTTTTCAGTCATATCGCTACAATGCCTACGATGTTGTAATTTATAGTGATGTCTAGCACTAAAGCATCAGTCCGCAGACATGTAGCATCATGTCCCACCCAGTCACATTATTCTGACATTAGTCCGACCATTCTTAACAACAACCTTTGGCATGTCTCAACCGGGGATCGAACCCGCGATCCCTCGCTTCCTATGCGGACGCTCTGACCTTTTAGGTCACCGGAGAGGTCCATATTCTTCTTAAAAATGATAATAATACCCTGATAATCTTTATTCAAAATTATTTTCAAAATTTCAATATAAACTCTGCATCATGTAACATCATCAAAAATGCAATGATCAGTAAAAAAATATATATATATAGTTTACAAAGCGGACAAAGTCGTCCTTAAAGTCCATAATAAATGCTTATTCTTATATCAGATTATTTTTAATGCTGTTTATTTATTTCATCATGAATTAACTTA